GCGTGGTCATGGAGTGGTCACCTCTCAGGTTGCCTCATTCAAGGCAAATGTCCTGGCCCTGATGGCTTCACAGCTGCATACTATAGCGAATTCAAAGACCTACTAACCCCCTATTGACAGACTCCTTCAACTGTCTTCGCAGTGGGTCACACTTAGTTCAGGACTCACTCACAGCCTCGATCTGCATGATCCCGAAGTATAACTCTGATCATTCTAACCCCTCCAATTTCAGGCCAATCTTGCTACTTAATGTACGCATGGCTGGCTAAAGTGCTAGCCAATAGATTGAATCGGGTAGCGGGCAGTCTAGTCAGCAATGATCAAGTGGGCTTTATTCCTACAAGACAAGCCGGAGATAATGTCTGTAGGGTCACCCTACTCACCCACATTGCCAGAACAAACCGGGTCCCTGCCATGCTCTTATCCCTCAATATCAAAAAGGCCTTTGATACTGTCTCTTGGCCCTACCTTTTTTACACCTTGAAACATTGGGGCTTTGGTTCCCATTTTCTAACTTGGGTATCCTCTCTGTATAACAACCCGCTAGCCCATATAAAGCATTCTGGCTTCCGATCCCCACCATTCCCTATTCTGAGAGGCACTAGACAGGGATGTTTGCTGTCTCCCCTCCTTTTTGCCCTGATCCTGGAACCATTTGCTCAGAAGATCCGCCGCTCACGAGATATATCTGGTATCAGCCATGATGGCATCTCCCACAAGCTGTGTCTATTCACAAAACTTCTGTCAGATTTCGCCTCGCTCTTGGGTCTACGTGTCAATAATGCTAAATCCACTGCTCTTAATCCATTACCATCCACGCTGGTGGAGTCCTTACAGAGCCAGTTTTCGTACCCTTAGGACCCTAGCTACCTCTCCTACTTAGGCATTAAGCTGACCAACTCAACTCTACGGTGCCAACTATCACCACATGATTGCTAACCTCACGCAACTCCTACAGACGTGGACCACCTACTGCTTATCTTGGATCGGTAGAATAGCGACTATTAAAATGACTCTACTGCCCATGATCCTCTATCCATTCCTCATCTTGCCTGTGGCCGTCCCTCCCCGTGTTCTTAAGACTCTGCAATCCCATATTTTTCGTTCCATCTGGGATAACAAGTAGCCCAGGATCCCTCGCAGCACGCTTCATCTCCCGAAATCGAGAGGGGGTCTGGCAGTACCCAACATAGCCACATACTACCTAGCAGCCCAAATAGGTAAACTCTCCAAGTACCATACCGATTGGAAATCCCGGCCTGGTCCCTCTGGAAGACTCCCTAGTCAAACCGACTGCCATCGCTAATCTCCAGTGGCTCCCTGCAGTACATAGACCCCCCATTTCACACCCACTCACCTCCCACTCCCTCCGCCTTTGGGATTCGGTCAAAAAAAAAGAATAACCTCATCTCTCCTCACCTTCCCTTTTTGTCGTTCCTGCACAACCCAGCTTTCCCCCCAGCCCTACACAACCCCTCACATTTTTCAGCTTGGTCAGATCGCAACTTGACAACTCTCTGGAAACTCCAATCAGACACAGCAATCACATCTTTCCCTCTACTCCAGGAGGGACACCTCCTTCCTAGTGGGGAGATCTTCCGATATCTCCAAGTCAGGAACTTCGTTGCCAAATATACTCCCAGAAACCACAGCCCCAGGGTGTTCACTCCTTTTGAGAGAATTTGCAGAGATACTCCCCACAGCCCTGGCCTTATATCTCTTCCATACTCCACCCTGCTAACCACTCCTAACGCACCCTAAAACCCCCCACCCCACCTATATCTCCAAATGGGAAAGGGATTTAGAATCTACCGTAGATGAAGACCTATGGTTACAGTCATGGATGAACACGAAATCTAGTTTGCGCTGTGCAAGCATGTTGAAGATTAAAGGAGAACTATGAGATGAGTGATTTCCACTTACCTCATAGTTCTAGCCGACCTGTGACAATCAGACTGTCACAGGTCAGCTCAATAGATCGGGAGGTGAGCGAACACATACGAGGTTCGCTCACCTCTCGATCCTGTCACGGCTCTCTGCCGTGACAGGGGGAGGGCTGGATTCCCCTCGCCCCGCTCCGATCTGCCAGCGCTGACTGGCGGAACGGACGGGGGAGGGGGCGGGTACAGCTGGCTCTGCCTCTAGATAGGCAGAGCCAGCTGTCACTCACGCAGCTGGGCGCATCCCGTCATATACGTCGGGATCCGCTCCGGCTGCGGCGTCTCAGTATACCGCGAGCTGTAGCTCGCGGTATACTGAGCTTAGGGTAACGGGAGGACGCTAGTTTGTGTCCTCCCGTTACCCTAAGGAGAACTATGGGGAAAAACACTGACCCCATAGTTCTCCTTTAACTACAAAGTCCTCCTGTGCTTGTACATGGTACCCGTCAGAGTGGCTGCCTACAACCCTAACTGTTTGCCGAACTGCTTTAGGGGCTGTCCTGACCCAGGCATTTTTATACACATATGGTGGCATTGCCCTTTGATGTCTAAATTCTGGGATTATATCTTTAATCTCCTCTCCTCCATCCTGTCAAAAACGATAACTAAAGACCCACACTTTACCCTCCTTAATTGTAAACCTGCTGGCCTCCCACGCAAAGACTTTCATTATATATATTAACCTCAGCCAAGAGAGAAATCGTGAAAAATTGGCAGACTAAATTGGCAGCGTCACTAGTGTAATTACCGTATTTTGCGGTCCATAAGATGCACCGGACCATAGGACGCAGGGAGGTCCGGCGTGCCTTATGGAGCACTCGACAGAGCGTAGCTTCCGCCACAGCTTTTATGACAGAAGCTGTGACAGAAGCTGCAGTTAGTGACCGCTGAGACAGGTGGCGCTGTGATTACTGATCTCGATCGCTGCCGCCGTTGCTCGGTTTTAATACCAGTGATCTCATTAGATCACTCGTATTAAGCGAGCAGTGGCTCCTACTACTCGCCCGGCGCCTGAAACTGCATGTCTTGGGCGTCGGATTCGCTCCATAAGACGCAGGCACATTTCCCCCTCCTTTTATGGGGGAAAAAGTGCGTCTTATGGAGCGAAAAATACGGTAATCATTGTGACGACATGGTGATCAGTTTATAAGTTAAATGTGTATTGGTGTTGAGTTGTGTTTGAGTGCGTTATGCTGTGTGACCTGGTTAGGGAAAGACTATCAGCACCATCCCTCGTTATCTACCATTGTACTCTGAGGGAGCTCAGAACAATGACATTCTGGCCAGGCTCCTGCTATGGCTGTCTGGAGTTCGTTAGCAGGTGGACACCTGTGGTGTTGAGCAGACCGATGGTCTGGGAGGGGAGGGGGGATGTGATGGGATTATATTCTGATTTCATCACTTGCTGTATATAAGTTTGTGCAGTTGCTCAATAAATCAGAGTTTGTTTACCCTACACTCAAGCCTTGGCTAGTGACTGGGGAAACTGGGAGCTAAGGATCTTCAGGTTCCAATATCTCCTCAGCAAGGAAGAAGACAGCGGCGGACATACTCATCCTGAGTACGGGGGTCCGTCACAATCATGTCCTCTGTATAATGTCCCATGAAAAGAGCGCAGCACAACTTGATTACTCTATGCCTAAAATGGCTTCAAGACTGTTCCTTAAGCGCTCGCCATTTGTGCTAACTTCCCCAAACATCACAATACATATACCATATATATCTACCTAAAATTGATTATATAAACCCTCCAATTCTTTCCTCCTACAATGTGAAAATTAATCCAATACTCTGTATAGCATATATATTATGATTTTTCAGACACACATATACAGTATCTCATGTGGGAACAGTACAGGGAAAATGTAGAGATAGCTGATCAACAGGAAATTAAGTCTGTATCTTCTCTGTAAAAATTATAATTAAAAGAGTTTGCACTGCTATACTAAAGCTAACAGTCCCCTTTTCTCTTCAGTAGATGTGGTAGGGATCAGTGATTGTCATAATAATCAGTGTTGCCTTCCTGAGATCAATGGTTACTTTGATATGCATGAAAAGAGCCAACTGGCCGTACGCACAGGTGGTGCTTTGGAAATAACTCTGGAAGAGAACTTAATATATATACGGAAAGACTGTTCTCGGAGACAGAATCGAGCCAAACATAAAATAATGTCAGTTTCAAAGAGACTTCAGTTGCCATCCAATCACTGTCGTGAGAAAGATATATATGTGTTCTTTGAACCAATCATGGATTCCTCATGTGAGCGAATGCGAGCAATTAGGATAGGCTAGAGACATTGGGAGGACTTAACTGAGGAACCTTGACCAGAGGACCTCACTGGTACAGAGGACAACACTAAGCCACAACAAGAAGCAATTTTCCTGAGAACGCTTAAGTGGCACAAAGTCCTGTTCACTACGGTGTTTGACCAGCAACAACCGAAGCTAAATTACTTTTTAGTGTATTATCTCATAGAAACCATTGCAGGTGCTAGAGAAGGGTAGTTTATGTATTGTTTTACCTGTAAAAGTACGTTAAATACTACTGGGTCAGTTTCCTAGGTTTTAATACAAGAATCAGAAAAACAAATAGCTGCAAAAGTCTGCAAAACAAAACATACTCACAATTAATTAATATACTACTCAAAATATAAATCAGTTTCCATTCAAACTCCTGTGCAATTTCCCAAATAGCGAGGAACAAATGGTTCAATCATAGTACAAAATCCACAAATTCCCATAAAAGTTCCTTATGAGAAAAGATATGCTCATTGTAAAGGTGCACTCTCTCCAAGATGCTCCTTTGTGTGTCCACCAACCATAGAAATCCCCTTGTGAAAATGAACTCACCCTTTAAAAAAAAAGCAAGTAAAACCTTGCTATTCATAAACTACTTGGGGATAATCTGGTCCTTCCTCCGTACAGCTTTAAAGAATTCACCACAATCATATATAAAATGATATTACAGTGTATATTTCTTCTACAAAACTAAATGCATATGTTTATATGGGGTGCTTAGAGATCCTTCTCGCCTTCATGAATATGGAAATATGTACTCACTTTCTTCTGATACCAAAATATTGCATCTCTGTTCTCAGCAGCCATCCCGCTATCCTTTCATTGGCACTTGTGTCTGTAGAACATAGAAAATCATGACATCGTGCAGATTGGTTTAGAAATTGTAAAACGTGTAGCCAGTGTGTTTATATTGTCCATTTATTACGCATGATAAACACTGTTGCGATTCACATTGCATAGATTCACAGTGCATTAAAGTTCTGGAAGTACAATAAAATCGAAAGAGTGATGCTAGTCTGATGCTAGTGGGTGAGCAAACAAATCAGAAATTTCACTCAATTTACCTTACTGTATATTAACCACTTGCTGACTGGGGTGTTTACACCCCCTTCCTGTCCAGGCCATTTTTCAGTATTCAGCGCTGCCTTACTTTGACTGACATTTATTCTGTCATGCAACGCTGTACTGAAATTAATTTAATTTTTACATTTTTTTAATTACCTTTATATGTGACTTAATTTTTTTATATTTTTTTGTAACTAATTCTTTAAAAAAAAAAATTTCACTTAACTTTATTGCTATCACACAGCCCCCTTTGTGATAGCCAATTTTCAGTGACAGGTCCTCTTTATGAAGACATCAGGGGCCTTTAAGACCCCTAATGTCACATAGGGACACTTGCTTCACCAGCTTCTCTCCGGTTTCTGTACCGGAGAGTGACACTGAATGTAGGCAGTGATGCAATACACATCACTGCCTGCATTCCCAAGAGGAGGAGGAGATCAAACGGAGCTCATGTACTAAGCTCCGTTTGATCTCCGGCCTCAGAGCGAGTCAGAGCTGCTGTGCTGGTCCCAGGCTCGCACCGTGCACAGCGGAGTTCGGGATCGCCAGCAGCGGCGGAGGGGGGGGAGCGCACACCCACACGCATATTACAAGCGATCGGGCGTCTCTAAAGACGCCCGAACGCTTGTATGTAAACAGCCATCGCCGGCTGTTTACATTGCAGGCTGATTTCCTGCTCGTGCGCACTGCCTAGCGGCGGGCACGAGCGGGGCGGGATGGGACGTTTAAAAACACCCACCAGCATTCAAGAAGCCGCTGTACGGCCGTTTAATTATAACGACCGGACAGCAGGTGGTTAAACTAAATTTTACAAAGCCCCTCTTGCCTTCCCTGAGGCCCTATTCGGCCTGCCTTTAAACTTGAGCCAAGTGTATTTCAGGAGTGTATTTAGAAGTGTTTTTGCTTGTTTTTGTGTGTGTTTTTTAAAGCACATTTTGCCTGGGCATTTGGAAGCACATTTGCTGAAGCACTTCAACGCTAAACATGAAGAATCCTATTTTAAATTGCGCCTGTTCGCATCTGAGCATTGTGCTGCCTGTTGCCATCCCATTCCATTTCTTTCCATCATTCAAACTTTCTGAGATGAGAAAGAGGGACAACTTCCATCACAGTGTATTTAAGCAATGGACACACCCCTGTATGCCAAAATTGATTTGTAAACCTATAATTGTTTTTTCACCATTACTTTTCCTGTACATTGCCTTTCAAAATGGCAAACAAGATAATTAAGAAATAAGATAAAGGTTTTAGTGCAGAATAACACTTTTGGTAGCTAAATAGATGCAAAAGCAATGTTTCGGGACCTTACATGGTCCATTCATCAGACAAAAAAACATAGTGATGATAAGACAGTTTACCGATGTGTAAAGTGTAGAAGAAGCCTGAAATAGGCCGGGTTCATAGGGTGCTAGATTGACATGTAGATTGCGCCGCACAAGTCCAAATTTAGAGAAGGTAGTCACCCACATACCAAGGTCCAATGCATGAATACGTCCCTTTATTGACGTCGGATACACATGGCATCAATGCAAAAGCAACGTTTTGGAACCTTACATGTCAATAAAGGGACATATTGATGCATTGGACTTGGTGTGCAGGTGACTACCTTGCACACCAAGTCCACAACATTACTCACGCTGAATTACTTTGGTGAGGCTGCTACTATACAACAAATAACCCCGTAATCAAAGCTGGAGGTCCTAAGGGAAAACCAATAGACAGCAGTAAGGGAACTACCCCAGTGCTGATAGTCAAGAATACTTCTTTTAGGGCTGCAGCTAACGATTATTTTCAAAATCGATTAGTTAGCCGATGATTAAGTTTGGTTAATCGGATTTTAAAAAAATGGCTCCAGTGATGGACTACTAGTTTGTATTGAGATTGTAGTCCATCACGGGAGCAAGCTTGGAGCGGTGGAAGTAAAAAAAAAGTGTGATGTGCATTATAGTACATTATACAGCGGCACAATGCAGAATACCAGCAGCTATAGAGGAATACAACAAATTGCAGCAGAGGCTTTGTAGTCCTCTGTAGTTGGTGTTATTCTGCATTCCGCTTTATCATTCATTATTGCTGGGATTTGTAGTCCTCTATAGCTGCTGGTATTCTGCAGTGCGCTGTATAATGATTATACGGCGCAATGCAGAATACCAGCAGCTATAGAGGAATACAATAAATCCCAGCAATAATAAATTATACTATAATGTACTATTGCTGAGATTTGTAGTCCTCTGTAGCTGGTGTTATTCTGCATTGAGCTGTATATAATGTATTATTGCTGGGATCTGATGTAGTCCTCTATAGCTGGTATTATTCTCCATTGCGCTGTATAATTTATTATTGCTGGGATATGTAGTCCTCTATACCTGGTGGTATTCTGCATTGCGCTGTATAATGATTATACGGCACATTGCAGAATACCAGCAGCTATATAGGAATACAAGAAATGCCAGCAATAGTACATGATACATTCAGTGTACAGTATAATGTAAAGCTGGGATTTGTATTCCTCTACAGCTGATGGTACATTGTGTTATTATACAGCACAATGTACCATTAGCTATAGAGGAATACAAATCCCACTATCCCAGCAATACATTAATATTACAATGTACAATAACACCAGAAATTATAGTATTGTGTGGGGGGGAGGGACGAGAGTGCAGGCTTACCTGAGCAGATTGTGGGCCTGTCTGGCAGCTGCCTTCCCCCCATGCCTGCTCTTCCTTCTTAAGGCCTGGTTCACACCTGGGCATTTTGTAGCGCGTTCGAACGCTCTGCAAAACGCTCAAACACCGAAATCCCATTATTTCCTATGGGTATGGTTCACACCTGGGCGTATTACAGGCCGTATGAACGCGCTACAAAACGCCCTACGCCCAAAGAAGTACAGGAGCTTCTTTGGGGCGTTTTTGTCACGCGTTTCCATTAGGATACAGCCAAGTAGCCCTCGGAAACGCGGTAATATTCGATACGCCTAGGTGTGAACCCAGCCTAATTGTGCCGTTCGTGGATGGGCGAGCAGCAACGAGTCTGTGAGACGGGGAGGAGAAGCGGCCTGCGGCGAGTACGTGAGGCGGGGAGAAGCGGCGTGCGGCGAGTCCGTGAAGGCAAAGAGTCGTGTCACGAGGCGGGGAGGAGACGTGTCGTGCAGCGCGGCGGGAAGGAGAAGTAGCGTGCGGTGAGCAGCAAGCAGGCCAACTAATTGAAATAGTTGACAATGTTTTCCATCATCGATTATAATCAACTTAGTCGATTAATTGTTGCAGCTCTAACTTCTTTATTTTTGAAAAAAATCAACAAGCTAAGATATAGAGAAAGAGAGATAATGCAAGAGATAGAAAGATAAAAGAGAGAGAAATAATAGAAATAACTAAATAGATATAAAGAGAGAGAGATAAAACAGAAATATAGAATAGATAGATAGAATACAAACAGGGGCATAACTAGAAATCAGGGCCCCATAGTAAAATGTTGTATGGGCCCCCTCCCCCTAAAAAAACAAAACATTGCTACAGTGCCTGAGCTACAGCATATATTATTATATATCTGATATGATTACATGCAGTTAGAAAACAATCACTATCCCTGGACACATTGATCGTGCATCCAGGGATAGTGCTTGATTCCTAACTGCATTCAATCATATCACATGCAGAGGGTATCTGTAAATGGCACCTTTTCAGACTGGGCTAGTGTAATGAGCGGTGTGCCTCAGGGTTCTGTGCTGGGTCCCATATTGTTCAACTTATTTTATTAATGAAATCGGGGAGGGTGTTAACAGCGATATTTCCGTGTTTGCGGATGACACCAAAATAGGGAGGGTAATAGACACGGACTTAGACACTATAACATTACAGGAGGACCTGGATAAAATAGGGGAGTGGGCATTAATGTGGCAGATGAGGTTTAATGTCGATAAATGCAAAGTAATGCACTTTGGAATTAAAAATAAACAAATGGGTTATACAATTATGGGTATGCCGCTGGGGAAGTCAGAAATGGAGAAGGATTTGGGGGTCCTTGTAGACCACAAACTGAAAGGTAGTTTGCAGTGCCAGGCTGCTGTAAACAAAGCTAGCAGGGTCTTGTCCTGTATTAAAAAGGGGATGTATTGCAGGGACAAGTCTATAATTTTGCCACTTTATAGATCATTGGTTCGACCTCATCTGGAGTACGCGGTCCAGTTCTGGTCACCAGTACTAAGAAAAGATGTCCTTGAGTTGGAAAAAGTCCAGCGAAGGGCAACCAAACTAATTAGGGGTATGGAGGACCAGAGCTACGAGACGAGGCTACTAAATTTAAACATGTTCACATTAGAGGTGAGGAGATTAAGGGGGGATATGATTTCCATGTACAAAATGTTTAATGGCGGTAGCAACATTAGCGATAAACTGTTTAAAATTAACTCCGTTACAAAAACTAGAGGCCATCACCTAAAATTGGTGGAAAAAAAATTCCAGCACAAGGGGCGAAAGGGGTTCTTCACAGTAAGATCAGTTAGGGTCTGGAACTCACTGCCACAGACAGTGATTTCAGCAAATAATGTGGAATTGTTCAAGAAACTTTTGGACGATTTCTTAAGGGACCGTAATATACAGGGGTACGGGTACTCCTAGAATGAGATCCTAATAGGTTGGACTTGATGGACTAATGTCTTTATTCAACCTCAAATACTATGTAACTATGTAACATGCCATCAAATGTCGTGTGCAGACGTTTACATGCAGCGGCTGTCATCTGATCATTAACTTGAATGGGTGACAGCTGCC